AGGAAGAGCGGCGGGGGGGGGAGCGGGGCAGCGCGGTAGGGGAAGAGACGGTAAAAGGGAACCGACTCGTCGAACGTGACGTCCTGAGACGCAAAGACACGGCGCGAGGTGGGGTGGTAAAACTGCCAACCAGGCGCGTCAGGGACAAAGCCAAGGAAGACACAGGGAACAGCGCGGGCGGAGAGCTTGTCCGCAGTGGTATCGCGGACAAAGGCACGAGCACCCCAGACCCGGAAACGCGACGCATCGCCAACCTTCCCCGTCCACAGCAGTGTGGGCGAGGTCTCCGGCAAGGAGACACGGGGCCAAAGGTTGAGCTGATGCGCAGCGTACCGGACCGCAAACGGCCACAGAAAATGGGGGGCAGCCGCATGGATCATGGAGGTACGAGCGACCTCCATGACTAATCCAATGCGGCGCTCAGCAACCCCATTCTACTGCGGAGAGGCCGGAAGCGTGAACGTCTGGCGGATGCCGTGCTCCGCACAGTAGGCTGCCAAGAGGTATGAGGTGAACTCACCACCTCTGTTAGAGTGCAGACGCAGGACAGGAAAGTCCCGCTGGAACTGCTCGCGGAGCTGGAGACGAAGAGCGTAGTGTAACGTGTGTAGTCGTCGACGACCAGCAGGAAGTACCGCTCGTGGCCCTGTCCACGGACGCGGGCTGGGCCCCACACGTCCAGGTGGAGAGTCTGCAGGGGAGCCTCTGTGGGAGGGAACGAGGAGTGAGGAGCGGCGCGCTGCCGCCCCTCGACGCAAGGAATGCAGGGCGGCGCAGGCGAGGGAGGGAGAGCAGGCAGAGACCTGGGAAGACCAGAAACCAGGGAAGAAGAGTGCATGCCACGAAGGCGAGGCAGAGGCGGCGACAGGCTTGGCTGCAGCACATGGTGAAGCGGGGGAAGTTTGCGCTGCAGTACATCCCGACCGCTGAGCAGCCGGCCGACTTCCTCACGAAGGCGCTGCACTATCCGGCTTTCAACCGGTGCTCTGTCGCCATCGGCCAGGTGCGCTTGGCCGACGTGGGCGACGAAGTTGACGAAGTGCAGCAGTAGGTGCCATGCCCTCTTGCATGGCTGGTGCGGTGGACGACGCGCTGTGTGTTGGGTGCACGTCGACGAGCTTGTCTCCGAGAAGTACTGTCGTGTGGGCTGGGGGCCCAAGCGTGAACGCGGCAGGGGAGTGTCAACGGGAGTTGTATGTTGGCCCCGTCCTCGCTTGGGCGGAGCCGACTTCGTGGTCGGGTGTAGGGTGCAGCCGACCTGCAGCAGTGGGCGAGTTGGTCGACGAGGTTGGTCGACCTGCACGGGGAGCCACTGCATGGGCGCCAACTTCGGCTGGTCGACCTGGGACGTCGACCAGCCCTTCTGGTCGACCTGGGACGTCGACTTGCAGCTGGTCAACCAGGGGATAGTGGTCGACCTGGGGATGACGACTGGAGGTGGCCGTCGACTTGGGAGGTCGACCGGCACGTACCAGAGGCAGTGGTCGACCTGGGAGGTCGACCGGAAGTGGTCGTCGACCTGGGTGGTCGACGGGCACGCACTGGAGCCTCTGGTCGACCTGGTTGCCCGGTCGACCAGGTTACCTGGGTGACGAGGTGCTGCGAAGGCTTGCGAAGGTCGCCCAGGTGGTTTTGGCGAGGACGACCTCGGTGATGGTATCCCGAGGTCGACGTGGTGCATCAGATACAGTCGTCAGCACGAGGTGGACTTAGTGTGTGTGCTGTGCAGGTGACGAAGCAGTGCGCGCCAATCACCTACGAGCACCTGCGAAGCGGGTGCAATGCTGGACTGCAGGAGCAACGCTGGCACGCCGTCGACTTGGGAGGTCGACCTGGGGATGACGACTGGAGGTGGCCGTCGACTTGGGAGGTCGACCGGCACGTACCAGAGGCAGTGGTCGACCTGGGAGGTCGACCGGAAGTGGTCGTCGACCTGGGTGGTCGACGGGCACGCACTGGAGCCTCTGGTCGACCTGGTTGCCCGGTCGACCAGGTTACCTGGGTGACGAGGTGCTGCGAAGGCTTGCGAAGGTCGCCCAGGTGGTTTTGGCGAGGACGACCTCGGTGATGGTATCCCGAGGTCGACGTGGTGCATCAGATACAGTCGTCAGCACGAGGTGGACTTAGTGTGTGTGCTGTGCAGGTGACGAAGCAGTGCGCGCCAATCACCTACGAGCACCTGCGAAGCGGGTGCAATGCTGGACTGCAGGAGCAACGCTGGCACGCCGTCGACTTGCGCTGTTGTCTCGCCGTCGACCTGCAGCGTTGGCAAGCCGCGTCCCTGCACTGCTGGAGCGTGGTCGACCAAGTCGTGCTGGCACGCGGTCGACCGTGCTGCGCTGGCAGTCGACCTGCTTGCATCCTAGCTCTGATGTAGTCTTCCTTAGCCAACTTGATTGTATCATTGTTGTCAACTTTCTCTAGTGAAACTCTTGCCAAATTGCCTTGTGAACTAGCAAGCAGTGTGTGCACTAGGAAAACGACTAAGGACCAAGGAACGCAGAGATCACACGAGCACCCGTGCCTAGCCCGTAGTCTAGCTCCCGTTACTAAAGTTATCTCCGCACGCACGACCGAGATTTTCTCTCGGTCGTGCTGTACAGCGCGGCATGATCGAAATCATGCGCGTGTACAGTGCGGGACAGGGCCGAAACGTGCCCTGTCCTGTTGCGATCGTGCAGTACAGTGCACGCGCAACAGAATCCGCCACACGCCCAAGCGCTGAGGGGCCACACGCGCGAATCTGGACCCACACGCGGTCCTGATTTTCGCACCCTTTGACTCGCGCGAAACAGTCAAACAGCACCCCCCTTGACCAGTCAAACAATCGAGCCCCCCAGCACACCATTCACTCGCATAAACCTCGTATGAAGCATTCGAGGCTTATGGCACTCAGACGAGCCTCGCATAAATCATTCGAAGCTCGCCCATATGAGCCTCGTATGAAATATTTCTCATGCGACTTTCATGGGAACTCATTTCAGCTTCATGAGGGCATCATTTGAGACTTCGTGGGAGACTCATTTGAGCGCATCATGTGAGCCTCATTTGAGCGCATAATAAGAACAGTGAAAACGAAACTGAAAATGCACAAACACAAAATGCACTTACCAATAAAAACGAAACACACCAAATGCAAGAACAAATGCACACAGAGCGTTCACAGAATGAGAATGAAAAATGCGCACACACACAAAATGCAAAATGCGACGCAGGCGGCTGGTTGACGTGCAAAAATAAATATTTTGCACCCAACAGGGGGGTGTTCCCGTTTCCGGCGGGGGGGGGGGGGGGGGGGGGGGGGGGGGGGGGGGGAATTTTCCCCGGGGATTTTTGTCTCCGTTGAAATTCTTCCCCGTGTATGTTTCCCGCCTTCGCACAATCTCTTCTCTTCCACGGTTGTGTTCCAATCCCCCGCGTGCTCTGCGCCATAGTCTCCTCGTGGACGGACAGCAGCGGCCCGGAAAAACCCACTCCCCTTCGCTCCCCGTTACCCTCCCTTCTCTCCCGCTAAAATCTGAACCCTGAACACTAATTTTTTTGCCCTGACAGGTCAGGATTAGTTTCTGCAAAAGCCCTGAACATACAGGAAGGCTTTGGGATTTTCCCCTGACAAATCAGGGCATTTTTTAAGATTCTAGAAAAGTGCCCTGAGGGCTCAGGGTGCCCCAAATCCTAGCACGGGCCCTGTTAGAAAGAAAGTGTGTCCAGGTTGATCCGATGCAAGAGTGGAAGAGTGACGAACAAAGTGTCGGAAGAGAGAGGGAAGGCGACGGTGACGTCGACGGAAGGATGAGAGGCCCGGGAGGGAGAGAGAGAGGAGAGCGACGGCGGTGACGGGAGCATTAGAGGAGCGGCTTGGGAGGGGAGGGGAGATCCTGAGTGAGACAGCGAGGGCGATAGGGGTGGGAGATCGCGGGCGACGGCAAAGGGAGGGAATCGCGATGGCGACTGCAGATGGGAGATCACTACGAGATCGCGAGGGAGAAAGCGAGCTCGACGGGAGAGGGGGGGAGAAAGTGAGCTCGACGGGAGACGGGGAGAGAAAGCGAGCTCGACGGGAGAGGGGGGGAGAAAGCGAGCTCGACGGGAGAGGGGGGGAGAAAGCGAGCTCGACGGGAGAGGGGGGGAGAAAGCGAGCTCGACGGTAGAGGGGGGGAGAAAGCGAGCTCTGTCAAACATATATATCTGTTATATGTTGTAGGTTTTGGTAGGCTGAAGTGGGGTAAATGCTGTGGGGTATAACCCCTTAGGGTTTTGTACTTGTAAAATTCTCTCGATAGTCCACACACACTTCTCCCTTACTCCTAACATGGTATTAAGAGCAATTAGGTCCTTAGGACCGCTTTAGGACCGCGTTTAAGGGCCCACCAACCGCTTCCGCCGGTTACCACCCTACCCCGCGCCCTACCCTACGTCGCTTAGCCGTGCGCGTCGCCTCTGCTGGTCAGCGCGCCGCTCGCTAGCACCCCTCGCGTTGCCTCTGCTGGCCAACGGGCCGCCCGCTAGCAGCCCGCACGACTCGCCCGCTGCTTGCGCAGCCTGTGCGCAGCCCCTGCAGGCTCGCGCGCCCCGTCGTACAGCCCCGCAGCCCCGCACGCCGCCCTCCCTACTGCCGCGGCTGTTTGCTGCACCCACGCGCCGCCCGTCGCCCTGCCCCGCAGCCCCGTGCGCCGCCCGCCGTGCTGCCGTGGCTGCGTGCCGCACCTGCGCGCCGTCCGTTGCGCTCCCTCGCAGCCCAGTGCACAGACCGCCCTGCTAAAGAGGCTGCCTCCTGCACCCGCGCGCCGCCCTTCACGCTGCCCTGCAGCCCCGTGCGCCGCCCTCCCTGCTGCCGCAGCCGCCCGCCACACTCTGCGCGCGACCTGCCTTGCAGCCCTGCCGGCCGCCTGTAGCCCCGTGCACCGCCTGCCTCTGCCGCGGCTGCCTGCTACGCTTTAGCGCGCCGCTCCTGCCTCTTGCTTTCTATTGCTCTGCCTGCTAGTCTTACGCCGGCAGCTATGGCCACCCTCCGCGTTCTCTCGTTCGATGCTGAGGGCCGCCCGATTGAGTTCGAACCCTGGCTAGATGATCTCCACCTGTTCTTAATGAGCGATAGCAAAGACAACGTTTCGCTTTTTGACCACACTTCTGGTGCATCCGTCGCCCCTGCTGCTGCCACAGCTGAGCTTAGCGCCCGTTCCCAGTGGCAGACTCGTGACGCTGCTGCCCGCCTAGCCATTCGCAACCACCTACCGCTAACCGAACTCAAGCATTTTGGCGAGCACAAAACTGCTAAGGCCCTGTACGACGCTGTAGTTGCTCGATACTCCTCCCCTGCCACTGCTGAGCTTAGCCGCCTCATGCTGCCATACCTGTTTCCTGAGCTGTCCACATTTCCCACCGTTGCCGATCTTATCACCCACCTTCGCACTAGTGACACTCACCTTCGCGCCGCCCTCCCCAGAGAGTTCTGTGCTAAGAACCCGCCTCCGATGTACTGGACACTCCACTTTATAGTCACCCGTCTCCCTGACGTGCTTAGCTCGGTCAGGGACCACTTTCTCGCTCGCTGTCCCACCGAGCTCACTGTCGACCTCCTCGAGGAGCAACTCCTTGCAGCAGAGAAGAGTATAGTCGTTGTAGCTGCTGCTCGTGGCGCTCCTCGCTCTCCCATCTTTGAGGGGTGCTCTCCCTCTCCCCTCGCCCCCTCCTTCGCTACTGCTGCTGCTGTTGACTTCCTTGGTGCTGAGTCTGCAAGTGCTGCTTCTGCTCCTAGTGGGAGGCGCCGCAACGGCAAGGGCAAGGGAGCCAAGGGTAGTGGAGGTGGCAACGGGGGGGGTGGTGGTGGAGGAGGTGGAGGAGGAGGAGGTGGCGGAGGGGCTGGTGGTGGGAGTGTTGGCGGGAGTGGCAGTGGCAGTGGAGGCAGTGGAGGCGGAGGGGGTGGCAGCGGCGGTGGCAGCAGCGGTGGCGGCCGGGGCGGTGGTAGCGGCAGCAGAGGCGGTCGGGGTGGAGGCACTGGCGCTGGCCAGAGCCAGCAGCAGCAGCAGCGTCCCCAGACATCCCAGCAGCTTCGTGAGTGGCTTACTCAGCGTGGGAAGTCTGGGGGTGGTGGTCGCTGCCCTTATGTCATTCGCACAGGTGACCGCAAGGGTCAGACGTGCAACAAGTTCCACACCCAGTACCGCTGCTTATCCCACCTTGACGACGCCTGGCGTGAGGAGATGGGCGAGGAGGTAGACCGCCCTCGCTGGCATGAGCTGTATCGGGCTGGTGTAGACATTTTTGCTCTTGACTTTGATGCTATTATCTCTGCTATGTATGCATTGAAAGTTAGTGCTGATGGTGAATGTTACCTGTGTATGCCGCCTGACCCAGGTATAGAAGGTGTTGCCTTAGAAGCACGCGAGTCTGCTCTCTCAGGTACTGCGCCTGCTGAGGCCTTGCACACCTTCACACTTGACTCAGGTGCTTCCCGCTATTTCTTCCGTGACAATACTGCCCTCACACCACTCCCAGCACCTGTTCCAGTCCGCTTGGCTGACCCCTCAGGGGGCCCAGTTCTTGCACGGTCCACCACTGTGCTTCCGTGCCCGGCGGTCCCGTCTGGCTCACTGTCAGGTCTCCACCTCCCCTCGTTCTCGACGAACTTGGTGAGCAACGCTGCCCCTCAAGATGCGGGGGTTAATACCTTCACCCCTGCATGGCAGCGTGTGGCGATCTGCACGTGTGCACAGACTGGCCGTCACCTGGCCACGTTCACTCGTCGGCCAGGGTCGAGTCTTTACACACTGACCACTGCGTCTCCTCAGGTTGCTGCTGTTGGTCAGGTGTTTGCATCAGGTTCGGTAGCCTCCCCCTGTGAGTGTCGCTCCCTGTCGCACCAGACTCTTCTCTGGCACCACCGTCTGGGTCACCCCTCCTTGCCACGTCTACGTGGCATGCACCGTCGCCTTCTTGTCTCTGGTCTTCCAAGGTCTCTGCCTCCCCTCCCTGCCTCACCTGCGCCGCCTTGCTTCCTTGCGTCGAAGGGCGGCAGCGCGCCGCTCCTCTTTCCTCCTCGTTTCCCCCGACAGAGGCTCCCCTGCAGACCCTCCACATGGACGTGTGGGGCCCAGCCCGCGTCACTGGACAGGGCGGCGAGCGGTACTTTCTGCTGGTTGTCGACGACTACACGCGTTACACCACGGTCTTCCCCTTGCGCACCAAGGGTGAAGTCCCTGCTGTCCTGATCCCTTGGATCCGAGCAGTTCGTCTCCAGCTCCGCCGCCGGTTCCGGTCGTACCTTCCTGTCCTGCGTCTGCACTCTGACAGAGGTGGTGAGTTCTCCTCCGACCTCTTGCGGGCCTTCTGTCAGAAGGAGGGCATCGAGCAGTCCTTCACGCTTCCGGGCTCACCGCAGCAAAATGGGGTTGCTGAGCGCCGCATTGGTTTGGTCATGGAGATCGCTCGTACCTCCTTGATCCATGCGGCTGCTCCCCATTTCCTGTGGCCGTTTGCAGTCCGGTACGCCGCGCAGCAGCTCAACCTCTGGCCCCGTGTGTCCTTGCCGGACACCTCGCCCACACTGCGTTGGACGGGGGAGGTTGGTGATGCGTCGCGCTTCCGGGTCTGGGGTGCTCGTGCCCTTGTCCGCGATACGTCCGCGGACAAGCTCTCCTCCCGCACCATTCCCTGTGTCTTCCTTGGCTTTGTCCCTGACGCGCCTGGCTGGCAGTTTTACCACCCCACCTCGCGCCGGGTCTTTGCCTCTCAGGACGTCACCTTTGACGAGTCGGTTCCTTTCTACCGTCTCTTCCCCTACCGCACTGCCCCTCTCCCTCCCCCGCCGCTTTTCCTCGCTCCAGGTCCCCCTCCGGTAGACCCCCTCCCCCCTCAAGGTCCTGCTCCCTCAGGTGTGTCTCAGGTAGACCCACTCCCCTTGGCTGAGCCTTTGGAGGTCACTTCTGACACCTCTGGCCCGGCTGAGGGGGGTGACGTTACTGCTGACGCCCCGGCGGCGTGCCGCCGCACACCACGCTTGGAGACCCCTCCGGGTTTCCCGCCGCGACCGTCTTCGCCGCCTCTGCAGCCGGTTCCTGTTGACTCTAGTGCTGCTGGGGGTGGTGCTACTCGGGGTGCTGCGTCTGAGGGTGCTGAGCCTTTGCGTGAGGTGCTGGGGGGTGTGGAGCCTAGGGGTACTGGGCCTTCGAGTGCGGAGCCTGAGGGTGCTGAGCCGGAGGGTGCTGGGTCGGGGGGTGCTGAGTCTGCTGGCGTTCCTCAGGGTCTTGTTTCCCGGCGGGGACCTCTCTCACCACAGCAGCTTCGAGAGTGGCTTGCGTGGCGTAGCCGCCTGAGACGTCGTGCTGCTGGAGCTGGAGGTCCTGCTTCTGGAGGTACTCCTACTACGGGTGTTGAGACTGGAGCTGCTGGAGCTACTCGTAGTGGAGGCGCAGTGAGTGCTGGTGTTTCTGGTTCTGGAGGTACTGGAGCTGCCCGGACTGGAGGTGTCGCAGGAGGCGCTGGAGCTGGAGACCCTGGAGCTGGTGCTGTCGACCCTGGAGTTGGAGACCCTGGAGCTGGAGGTGCTGGTTCTGGGGGTCCTGCTGCTGGGGGTGCTGGTTCTAGGGGTGCTGCTTCTGGAGGTACTGAGGCTGGAGATACTGGAGCTGGAGGTGCTGGTTCTGGGGGTGCTTCTGCTGCTGGTTCTGGGGGTGCTTTTGCTGCTGGTGCTGGAGCTGGGGCTGCTGGCGCTGGAGCCCCTGGAGCTGCTGACGCTGGAGGCGCTGGAGCTGCTCGCGCTGGAGGCGAGGGTGCTGCTGGTGCTGGAGGTACTGCGACTGTTCGAGCTGGTGGTGCTACTGGTACTAGAGGTGCTGGTCGTCCGAGCGCTACTGGTCGCGGAGGTGCTCGCGCTTCGGGAGCTGGAGCTGCCGGGGCTAGTAGTGCTGCGGACCTTGGAGCTGGTGGTACGGCACAGTCGCGCCTGTTCTTCGCTCCGCCGTCTCCGTCGTCCCTGCCACCGCCTGACACCGTGCTTCGCCAGGTTCTTACCCTCTCGTCTTCTACTGGCCTCCCGTTATAGCCCGGCTCTCCGCTGCCTGCGCCGTCTCCTTACCCTGTGCAGTCTGATTCCCCTTCAGAGCGTCGTGAGCCTGCGTCGCGTCCTACCTCACTTGTTCGCACTGTTCGCACTACTCGTCGTGTGCCTCGTCCACGTCCTCCCCCTGTGCCAGGTGTTCACACTATGGCACTTCGTCCTTCCTCTGTTCCTCTGCGCATTCTCCTACCATCTCCTCCTGCGTCCTCTCTGCCTGACGTTCCAGACCCTGAGTCTGACCGGTTTCGTGCTGAGCACCCTACTGTCACGCGTCTTCTAGCCACTTTTGTCACTGACCCGTCGTTTGAGTCTGCTGCTGCGTCTGCCTTGGTTGCTGAGCTTGTCGACTTTGCTGCTACCTGTCGTCTAGACTACGCCGCTAGTCTTGTTGCTGAGTCTGAGTCTGTCTGTCCTCCGTCCGTCGAGGGTGAGTGTGCTCTTGGCACGGACGTCCTTGAGGACAGGCAGGAGGACCTTGAGTGTCTTGCAGCCGCTGCGCCTCATCTCGTGGCCATGCTGCTTGCCCCTGAGGGAGACCCGGATGCACCAGACATCCCGACCCCGTGCTCTTACGCTGAGGCGATCACGGGTGAGTACTCCTCTCAGTGGCAGACAGCCATGGACGCAGAGATGGTATCCTGGAAGTCCACAGTCACGTACGTTGATGAGGTTCCCCCTCCTGGGGCGAACATCGTCGATGGCATGTAAATTTTCAGGGTGATTTGGCCGCCGGGTTCTCCGCCTGTCTTCAAGGCTCGTTACGTTGCTAGAGGCTTCAGTCAGCGTGAGGGAGTTGATTTCTTCCAGACCTTCTCCCCCACCCCGAAGATGACCACTCTTCGGGTGCTGCTGCACGTTGCCGCTCAGCGTGACTACGAGCTTCACTCTCTTGACTTCAGCACAGCCTTCTTACAGGGCAGCCTGCACGAGGAGATCTGGCTGCGCCGCCCACCTGGCTTCACTGGGTCGTTCCCTCCTGGTACCCAGTGGAGCCTCCGGCGGCCAGTCTACGGTCTCCGCCAGGCGCCTCGTGAGTGGCACGACACACTGAGGACTACACTTGCGGCTCTTAGGTTTGCTCCTTCGACTGCTGACCCGTCACTGTTCCTGCGCACCGACACTTCGCTGCCGCCGTTCTACATCCTCGTGTACGTCGACGACTTGGTCTTTGCCACTGCTGACACTGAGGCTCTCGCTCAGGTGAAGTTGGAGCTGCAGAAGAGACACACGCGCACAGACCTGGGTGAGCTGCGCAGCTATCTTGGCTTGCAGATCACTCGGGACAGAGCACGCCGCACCATCACCCTGACTCAGTCACACATGGTGCAGCAGGTCCTTCAGCGCTTCGGCTTCTCCTGGTCCTCCCCACAGGCCACTCCTCTGGCTACAGGTCACTCGCTCTCAGCTCCACCTTCGGACGAGTCCGTAGAGCCGAGTGGTCCTTACCCAGAGCTAGTTGGCTGCCTCATGTACCTGATGACTTGCACTCGTCCTGACGTCGCGTACCCTCTTGGTCGCTACGTGGCTCCTGGTCGGCACCGACCTGAGCACATGGCTGCTGCTAAGAGGGTACTGCGCTACTTGTGCAGTACATCAGGCATGGGGCTAGTGCTTGGAGGGAAGAGCCCAGTTGTTCTCACTGGGCACTCAGACGCGTCTTGGGTTGACGACCAGACTACACAGCGGTCGTCACAGGGTTACACCTTCAGCCTTGGCTTTGGCTCTGTTTCTTGGCGGTCTACACGCTCGTCTTCTGTTCTCAGCTCCAGTTGTGAGGCTGAGATCTACGCCACCGCCATGGCTGCACAGGAGTTACGCTGGCTCGTTCTCCTAGGTGAGCGGCCTCGTTCTCCTCCAGTTCTGTACGTCGACAACAAGGCGGCCATTGCCTTGTGTGAGGAGCACAGACTGGAGCACAGAACGAAGCACATCGCTCTGCGTTACTTCCTGGCTCGAGAGTTGCAGCAGCGAGGTCAGCTTCGTCTTCGTCACGTGGCCACTCGGGCCAACACTACTGATATATTCACCAAGGCACTTCCGTCTAGTGATCATCAGCGCTTTTGTACCCTGTTAGGCCTTGTGCCTACGTTTCCACACTTGCTGTAGTCCTTGCTTGTACTGTGATCTATATATATACCTGCATGCTGGCTCTTGCTAGGTAGTCATCACTGTACTGTTGTTGTTGCATATATATCTCTGCATGTGAACTGGCCTTGTGGCCCTTTGCTTGTGCTCAGAGTGTGTGGTAACGTTGTGATCCACCCTGAGCTTGCTTTGCTTTTCTTGACTGGTCTTGTGACCTCTGGCTCTCCCCCACTTTGCCTATGGGGGTGTGTCAAACATATATATCTGTTATACGTTGTAGGTTTTGGTAGGCTGAAGTGGGGTAGATGCTATGGGGTATAACCCCTTAGGGTTTTGTACTTGTAAAATTCTCTCGATAGTCCACTCACACTTCTCCCTTACTCCTAACAAGCTCGACGGGAGAGGGGGGGAGAAAGCGAGCTCGATGGGGAGGAAGGGGGTATAGCGAGCGCGAGGGGAGGAGGATGGGAGAGAGCGAGGGCGAAGGGGAGAGCAGGGGAGATAGTGAGGGTGACGGGGATGGAGGGGAGAGATAGCGAGGGTGACGGGGAGGGAGGGGAGATAGCGAGGGTGACGGGGAGGGAGGGGAGATAGCGAGCACGATAGGGAAGGGGGGGAGGTAGCGAGGGTGACGGGGAAGGGGGGGAAGATTGTCGGTGACGGGAGAAATAGTACCGTTACTATCCTTGTATCGCAACATTACACACCAGGGCTAAATCGCGAAGGCGATCTCAAGGGAGGGCGACGGGAAACGGGAGGGCGACGGGATGGGACAGCAGATCCCGAAGGCGATCTCAAGGGAGGGCGACGGGAAACGGGAGGGCGACGGGAGGAAAGGGAGGGCGAGCGAGAGGGGAAGCTTCGCTTGATGCTGATGGCGAGGGACCTGTATCGCTTCCCCTAGGGCTAAGTCTCGACGCTAAGCTGAGGCGACACGATATGCGGTAGGAGAGGCCTCCGACAGATTCGCAACATAGAGAATGAGCGGTTGACAGGATAATAGGATGTTCTTACCGTTCCTGCATACTTCAGCGCCTTGCAACGACAAGCCACGTACTACTACATTACGCACCCGAGCTAAGTCGATACATGACACGATCAAACCAAGTTCAAAAATGGCATGCCTAGGACGCAAGCCGCCGGGATTTCAGCTATACTAAGGAAAGAAGGTAGCGACAGTGATATTAGAAAAACGAGTTGTGAACCCAGTTCCAGCTTGATATCGAAGTTGTGCCAAGCGACCAAAACGATTGCTTTGCACCATCGTGAGGGTGCAGCACGTAGACATGCGACGGTTGACGTGAGCTCCAAAATTCATTTGGCATGAACCCACGGAGCTCTCAGTTTGGCGATAGCCAATCTGAACATTTCAATTTGAAATTTCAGTTGTTTGAAACAGTGATGTTTCGGCCCGATTCCTTGAGCTCTTCACAGGACTATTTCAAGCTGGGACGGGGGTCACTATTTTGCTGGCTTTAAGCTCTCAATCGACTATCCTACTATATGATACCTGTACAGCTTAAAAACATCACACGAGGAACTCCATAACACAAGCTACTGTACCATACTCAAATCAGCATATACGTATCACGGGTAAATTGGCAGTAGGAGGTCAGAGCAGGGACCCGGAAGCAGGCCCTCCAGGCCTGTAACCCGGCATGGCACCTGGCATGTCCATGGCACCAGGCATGGCCCCTCCCATGGGCATTCCTCCCTGCGGGGCCCCAGGCATCCCCCCCATGTGCATGGGCATCTGCCCCCCCATGCCCATGCCACCCGGCCCCATGCCACCCGGCCCCATGCCACCCGGCATACCCATGCCGCCGCCCATCTGCATGGGAGGAGGCATACCTGGCACTCCCATCCCCATGGGTGCAGCCATGCCCATCCCAGGCCCCTGCATGGGCATGCTCCCATACGGCATGGGCGCCATGCCTGCAGCAGGGGGAGGAGCACCCCCCGGGAGCACCATGTGAGGGGCAGCGGGCGAGGGGGCGACGGCAGTCGGGCCGGGAGGGGAAGAAACAGCAGCAGCAGGGGCACCGGACCAGGGCAGGGCGAGCATGGCGGCTCCCCCCTGCTGCTGCTGGGCGGCCACTGGGGGTGGCTGCAACCAGGCGGGTGGCAGCTCACTGATGTTGTCGCTGATGAAGTCCCTCAGCCTGGTGGCACGGGGCAGGCCGCAGACACGCAGGGCAGGGCAGGGAAGGGAAGGGGAGGTAAGGGGAGGGGAGGGAAGGGGCAGCCAGGCGGGCGGCAGCTCACTTATGTTGTCGCTTATGAAGTCCTTCAGCCTGGTGGCACCGGGGGGGCCGGGGACAGGCAGGGCAGGGCAGGGGAGGGGAGGGCAGGGGAGGGAAGGGGAGGGAAGAGGAGGGAAGGGGAGGGAAGAGGAGGGAAGGGGAGGGAAGGGGAGGGAAAGGGAGGGAAGGGGAGGGAAGAGGAGGGAAGGGGAGGGAAGGGGAGGGAAGAGGAGGGAAGAGGAGGGAAAGGGAGGGAAGGGGAGGGAAGAGGAGGGAAGGGGCAGGGAAGCACAGGGCAGGCACGCAGGTGAGCGTGGAGGGTTGGCAAAGGAGGCAGAAATGAGGTGGCAGGCAGTGAGAACCATGGCGCGGAGACACAGCAGGTGGGGGGATGAGCAACACGATACAGACTGCACTAGTTAACCATTCTTCCCCATGCCCCACATACACCCCTCAGCACCCCTAACCCCCCTTCTCCACCTCCTCCTCTTCCCTTTCCCTGCCCCCTTCCCTTCCCCCTCCACCCCATGTCCGCCCCCCTCAATGGCGCCCCCCCCTCAATGTGCCCCCCCCCAGGGCAGGCGACGCACGCAGCGGAGGCGGTGGGGTCGGAGGAGGCGCAGGTGAGGCGCAGCTGCGAGCGGTCCGCTGGGTCCGTCTCCAGACGCGCCTGCGGTGGTGAGCGGTGATGGAGGGTGATGGGGGGTGATGGGGGGCGATGGGGGGTGATGGGGGATGGTGGGGGTTGGGAGGTCTTATTGAGGATGGGCTTGGAGTGGGAAAGAGAGGGAGTGGGGTGGAGAGGGGAGGCGAGGAACACCTATGACGAGCAGGGCACCGCGAAAAGCAGGAATGCAGGAGGGGAGGCATAGTGAGAAGCAGGAAGGCATTGGGAGGGAAGGAGAGCAGGGGGGTGTGAGCATAGCATACGAGGAGGAGGGTGGGCGGGGTGGTCTCTGTGTGCAGCGTGCAGCACGCCACTATGTTGTTGGGGTTGGGATCCTGGCGCGGCCATGGGGGGAGAGGGGAGCACGGGGGCACGAGGGATGGGGAGAGGGATGAAAAGAGGGGTGAGTGGGGGAGAGGGTGAGAGAGGATAGAAGAGGATGGAGAGGAAAATGCCAGAAATCGTGAAACAGAGGGGCGGATGGGAGAGCAAAGGGTTGGTGGTGGAAAGCGGGAGAGGTGGCAGGCAGGAGCAGGGTCTGACCAGGTTGGGCAGCGGGTTGATGTGCATGGACGCCAGCAGCTGTGCCAGTGCAGGTAGCGGCAGCGGCTTCACTCCCCTCAGCTGGGGGGGGAAGAGGCAGATGTGAGGGGCACGTAGGGGCGGGGGATGTGCGAGCGTGTGGGTGAGTGTGGGAGTGATGTGAAGTCCTGTCATGGGGAGAATATTGAGTGAGTGAGAGGTGAGGAGGTGAGAGGTGGCAGGTAGCGGCATACAGCAGCAGCACAACACAAGAAGCCATCGCATCACGCATGGCAGGTGCCATTCGTGATGCAGCAGCAGTACACCCCACCACCCCCCATCACCCACCACCCAGCACCCAGCACCACCCCTCAGCACAGCACAGAGCAGCACGAACCACAACTTGCTGCTTGTGCGGCGGGGCAGAGAGGGTCTTCCAGCGAGCAAAGAAGTCGGCAGAGGAGAGCGACGCGGGCAGCAGCGCCTTGCTGAGCGCCACGGGCAGGTGCAGGCGCAGCGGCACGCGCGTGCCTGAGGGCAGCGTGTATGCCATGTCCAGGCGCGGCGCCTCCCTGGGTACCAGCACTGCTGCCGCCTCCACTGGCAGCTGGATCTGTAGTGGTGTAGTGGGGGAGAAAGGGCAGGGGGGGGGGAGGGGAAGGGTGCAGGAGGGAGGGACAGGATGCAAGGCGAATGAGCGAAGGGGATGAAGGTGGAGAGGATGAAGGCGGAGGGTATGAAGGTGCAGGGGATGAAGGCGCAGCGGCACGCGCGTGCCCGACGGCAGTGTGTATGCCATGTCCAGGCGTGGCGCCTCCCTGGGTACCAGCACTGCCGCCGCCTCCACTGGCAGCTGGATCTGTAGGGGGGGGACAGGGGAGGGGGGGAACAGGGGAAGGGGGGGAAGGAATGGGGTGCAGGAGGGAGGAAGAGGATGCAAGGCGAAGGGGCGGAGGGGATAACGACGGAGGGGTTGGGAGAGGATTCCAAGGGGGGGTTTAGGTATGAGGAGGAGGAGAATGATGAGGCAATAGCAGAAAGAGGGATCGGCAAGAAAAGCGCGGGAAGTGAGACAGAGCAGAGGGAAGGGGGGAAGGGGGGGCAGAGGAAGGCACTGACCTGGGCGCGAGGGGGGATGACTTGAGGCAGCGGCGAGAGGATGACTCGCAGGCCGGGCGTGGGCGGTGTGGAGGCGGTGAGAGCGGTGAGCGGCGCCGTCCCCTTGTTGCCCAGGAAGAGCACCACGCGGCCATGCGGTGGCTTCCACTCACTCTTCACCCCAATCTGCCATGTGTGGGCGTGCAAGGGAGTGGAAAGGAGTGCAAAGGAGTGGAAAGGAGTGTAAGGGTGGTACATGGTGAAGGGCATTTGAGGCGGTGAGAGCGGTGAGCGGGGCCGTCTCCTTGTTGCCGAGGAAGAGCACCAGGCGGCCATGAGGAGGCTTCCACTCACTCTTCACCCCAATCTGCCATGTGTGGGCGTGCAAGGGAGTGGAAAGGAGTGCAAGGGAGTGGAAAGGAGTGTAAGGGTGGTACATGGTGAAGGGCATTTGAGGCGGTGAGAGCGGTGAGCGGGGCCGTCTCCTTGTTGCTGAGGAAGAGCACCAGGCGGCCATGAGGAGGCTTCCACTCACTCTTCACCCCAATCTGCCATGTGTGGGCGTGCAAGGGAGTGGAAAGGAGTGCAAGGGAGTGGAAAGGAGTGTAAGGGTGGTACATGGTGAAGGGCATTTGAGGCGGTGAGAGCGGTGAGCGGGGCCGTCTCCTTGTTGCTGAGGAAGAGCACCAGGCGGCCATGAGGAGGCTTCCACTCACTCTTCACCCCAATCTGCCATGTGTGGGCGTGCAAGGGAGTGGAAAGGAGTGCAAGGGAGTGGAAAGGAGTGTAAGGGTGGTACATGGTGAAGGGCATTTGAGGCGGTGAGAGCGGTGAGCGGGGCCGTCTCCTTGTTGCTGAGGAAGAGCACCAGGCGGCCATGAGGAGGCTTCCACTCACTCTTCACCCCAATCTGCCATGTGTGGGCGTGCAAGGGAGTGGAAAGGAGTGCAAGGGAGTGGAAAGGAGTGTAAGGGTGGTACATGGTGAAGGGCATTTGAGGCGGTGAGAGCGGTGAGCGGGGCCGTCTCCTTGTTGCCGAGGAAGAGCACCAGGCGGCCATGAGGTGGCTTCCACTCACTCTTCACCCCGATCTGCCATGTGTGGGCGTGCAAGGGAGTGGAAAGGAGTGCAAGGGAGTGGAAAGGAGTGTAAGGGTGGTACATGGTGAAGGGCATTTGAGGCGGTGAGAGCGGTGAGCGGCGCTGTCCCCTTGTTGCCCAGGAAGAGCACCAGACGGCCGTGCGGTGGCTTCCACCCACTCTTCACCCCGATCTGCCATGCATGCCATGCTCGCGTGGACGACAGGTGGTGCAGGGGTGGGGATGGGCAGTCGAAGCGCGGGGGAGAGCGAGTGGCAAGGTGGTGCAGGGTATGACGCAATGGGATGAGAGAGGCCAAGCAAGGAGGTGGGAAGATGGAGCAAGGCAGTGCATTCAGCGACTCGCAGTATTGGGTAACAAGGGGTAACATGGCATGGCAAATGAGTACCTGACATGGCATGGCAAATGAGTACCTGACATGGCATGGCAAATGAGTACCTGACATGGCATGGCAAATGAGTACCTGACATATGCATATCCTACCATCGTCCCTACCTGCAGCGGCGCTCCCTCTCAGAAATGGCTCTCACCTGCAGGTGCGAGTCCTCATACAACACACCACTGTCCTTGCCCATCAGCGCACACGCGGCGTGGTCACCCCTGCACACGTGCTAGTACAAATAAGAGCGATCATCTCACCTGCAGGTGCGGGTCCTCATACAGCACGCCGCTGTCCTTGCCCATGAGCGCTCTGAACCACTCCGCCACACTGCCCAGTGGCTGCCACGCGAGGAAGAGGGGGAGTGGGTGCAAAGGGAGGGTGAGATCCATAGAGGAATGTTTCTGAGTTGTCAAAAAATGACTAGAGCACGAAGCTGTCCTTGCCCGCCCATGAGCGCCCGGAACCACTCCGCCACACTGCCCAGTGGCTGGCACGAACGGCACGGTGGCAAGGGGGAAAGGGGGGATGTGGAATCATGGGAGGGGGTATGTGGAATAATGGGAGGGGGGCAGCACTGTGAGGGCAGCACTGTGAGGGCAGCACTGTGAGGGCATGGCATGGCAGAGGCGGATGGAGCGAGGGGGCTGACAGACTGCCCTCCCACTTTCACCAGCCGCTTCCCTTCTCTGCTCATCTCACCTTCCCCTCCGTCGCTGCTTGCCCTTGTGATTCCTCTCCCATCCTCCACCCACCCCCACACAGGACGCAGCATCCGTTGCACACCACCTCCGCATGTCACTGTAACTGCACAACAACACACCACCTCCACATCCCGCCGTACCTGCACCACAGCATCCCACCGTACCTGCACCACAGCATCCCACCGTACCTGCACCACAGTATCCCACTGTACCTGCACCACAGCATCCCACCGTACCTGCACCACAGCATCCCACCGTACCTGCACCACAGCAGCAGGTGCAGCAGTCTGGTCAAAGAGCGTCAGTGCCATGGCCCCCGCCTCTGCTCCCCCCACACCACCAGCAGCAGCGGCAGCACCAGGACCAGCAGCACCAGCAGCAGGGGCGCCCGCAGCAGCAGCAGGGGCAGCGGAGGCGGAGGCAGAGGGATCAAGCGAGAGCAGCTCTCCCAGCAGGTCGCCCACAGCGGTGGCAGCAGAGTCAGCGGGCACGAGGGCGAGCTCGTTGCCTGCTGCAGGGGGAGGCGCCGCTGCTGGCTCGTCCACCAGTGAGGTGGGCGGCTCAGCGGGTGCAGGCTGGGTGGTGGATGGGGGTGGGGACGACGGGGTGCCCTGATGGGAAACGGGGGAAGAACGAGGGAGGATTGGGAGGAAGTGTTGGGGATGTGTGAGGATGAGTAGTGATTGTGAGGAAGCCATAGGTTGGGTTTAGCGGAGGGAAAGAGCACGAGGGGAGAGGGGGTGGCTATGACAAGCAGGGATAGTGGCAGCATGGCAGCACGGCAGCAGGTGGGGGGGCAACATGATGGAAAGCAGTGGTGCTCACATCAGCAGTGGTGCTCACATCAGCAGACGTGGCAGGCTGTGGGCGTCGCACCGGCCCCACACCAGCAGCAGCACCATCAGCAGCAGCCGCGGCAGCGGTGGCGGAAGGGAGCTTGGCGGCAGCGGCAGTGGCGGGGCCAGAGACGGGGACGAGGGCGAGGGCGTTGGCCTGGTGGGCGCGCAGCTTCACTGCGCTCACCTCCGCACTGTCCCCCTCGTTGTCGGGGGCCCGGCGCAGCAGCGACGACTGGCGGGGGGTGGAGAAGGGAAAGGGGTTGGGGGGTTGGCCCTTGAGTGGCCCTGAGAGTCACTGCGCTCACCTCCGCACTGTCCCCCTCGTTGTCCGGTGCACGGCGCAGCAGCGACGACTGCCAGCAGGGAGGGCAGTGGGGGGAAGGCGATGCAGTGATGGTGGTGAGGAAAGGACTTGCGTGAGGGTGAGGAGGAGAAAGGTGAGTGAAGCCGGTCAACTACCATACCACCACCCAGCATATAAGCATACTCGCGTTGAGGGAACGGGCATGTGAGCGACAATCTCAGCCAAGGCACGGCTAGGGATGAGCATATTGGCGAACACCCGTTCGGTTCATCTCGAACATGTTCGACGTTCGGGCGAACATGTTCGCTGTTCGCGCGCCTCGATGTGCCGAGGCGCGTCGAACACGAACATGTTCGTGTTCGACACGTACATCGACGAACACCGAAAATGTTCGTCGACGAAAACGCCGCGACCTAATTTAGGGTCGCGGCCCTTACCATTTGGGCTCTTTTTTTTTAGCTTGTCGACCATGACGCTCCCAACAGCCCGCCCACCCCACAACAACCTACCTCACCCTCACCTTCTAGTAGTAGCATAGGCCCTAAACTGAACTTAGTTAACTATGGCGTTTAGGCATTATGGTGACTTCGATGTTCAATACTAAGAACGTAGCCTCTATCTACTCTGTCAAATTGTAGTGCCAACCCCTCAAAGGCGAACGCGAACATGTTCTTGGCGAATGTGTTCGTGTTTGCCAAAACGTACGAAATGTTCGCCTCTCTTGGCGAACTTCGAGCTAAAACGAACGCGAACATGTTCGCGTTCGCTAGATGCTCATCCCTGGGCACGGCCGCCCCTGCACCTCACTCAGGCCGCCCCTGCACCTCACTCAGGCCGCCCCTGCACCTCATGTTGTAAATGTATCTTATATACAACATACATAGGCTAGAATAGGTGTAGCTCTTTAAGCCATTGGGGGGTTGGGTGTACACTCCAACCACACTTTGTGGTTGGGTCAAGATTTGGTTTGGTCTTGGTCCTTGGTTGGCACTTGCCAACATTTGGTCCTAAGGCCAACCAATCACAAGCTAGCAACATTGTGGGGTTCCCTACTCCACAAGGCAACTCACCCATTGGCCAACTTAGTGGCCAATAGGGTTGCACCTTCTTCCAACCTCTCTTCCTTGCATGCTTGTACTATAGAGCCTCCTTGGCTCATTACTCAACCATTCTTGAATTCTATCATGGTATTCAGAGCCAAATGGCTCACGCCACCTCCCTCGATCCTTAGGCCGTAATTTCCTCTCCGCGTCTTAGATCTAGCCTCCCGCGGCCTCAATCCTCCCTCCCGTACCTCAGATCTAGCTTTCCGCGGCTCAGATCTACTCCTCCGCGGTCTCAATCCTCCCTCCCGCGGCCACAATCCTCCCTCCCGCGGCCTTAATCCTCCCTCTCGCGGCCTCCGACCGCTCTCCCGCGGCCTCAATCCTCCCTCCCGCCGCCACCCCTCCCTCACGCCTTCCGTCGCGGACGGCCAGCACACCGTCGCGGACGGCCAGCAAGCCGTCGCGGACGGCCAGAAAGCCGTCGCGGACGGCCAGAAAGCCGTCGCGGACGGCCAGCAAGCCGTCGCGGACGGCCCGCAAGCCGTCGCGGACGGCCAGCCAACCGTCGCGGACGGCCAGCGCGCGGCCACGAGCACCCCGCGCGTCGACGCGGACGGCCAGCGCGGAGTCGCGGCCGACCTGTGCGCCATCCCGAACGGCCGCCGCGCGATCGCCGACGACCTCCGCGCCGACGCGGACGACCGACGCGGAGCCGCGGCCGACCCTCGCACTGACGCGGACGGCCGACGCAGAGCCGCGGCCGACCCTCGCACTGACGCGGACGGCCGACGCAGAGCCGCGGCCGACCCTCGCGCTCTCACGGGCGGCCGACGCGCCGCCGCGACTGACCTGCGCGACCTCCCCCCTTTCATCCGCGCCCTGCCCCACACTTCCGCGCCATCCTCCCTCTCCCCTACCTCCTCCCCCCCCCCTACTTCACCCTTAATCGCACCAGCAACAGCACCTAGCAGCGGCACCTTTAACCCTAACCAGCAGCGCCACCCTGTTACGGCACCAGCAGCGGCACCTTCAACGGCACCAGCAGCGGCACCTTCAACGGCACCAGCAGCGGCACCTTCAACGGCACCAGCAGCGGCACCTTCAACGGCACCAGCAGCGGCACCTTCAACGGCACTAGCAGCAGCACCTTCCCGACTTCGCCATCATGGCGTCCGCAGACTCATCGGTCGACCTGGCGACCATTGACTCTCTCGAGTTGTTGGGCGACAACTCGGCCGCCAACTGGCACTCTTATGCCCACTCCGTCGAGGTGTTGCTCTCCTCGGTTGTCGTCAGCGGATATACCCTCCGTTCCGTCGTGTTCCAGGAGGAAGGCGGACTCCAGCCCATCGCCCCTTCCGCCCCCACCGGACCTCCTCCTGACGAGCCCGGACCTGAGCCCGAGCCTCCTGGTGATCCTCCCACCTTCGCGCCGGATGTCAACAATCCTCAGAGCATGGAAACTGCCATCCGTACCTACCGCACCGCACTCAACGACCACCTTCGCCGTCAACTGCGCTATGAGGACGACAAGCGCGCCTACGACGAGGCTGCTGCCCGCCACCGCGATTACCAAGCTCGACTCGCCACGTACACTACACGTCTCGCCAGCTACACCACCGACATCGCTGCGTGGCGCATTGCTGACCGTCGAGCTCTCGCCATCCTCCTCGCCACTATCCCCTCCTCCCTCAAACGAGAGCTTTCACCTACCTCCTCCTCCCACCTGTGGCAACTGCTTGTCGACCTCTTTGACCGGCAGGACATCGCCACCCTCTATGCCCTCATCAAGGAATTTGGATCCATCACCATGGATTCCACTGCCGGCGCAGCCGCCTTTACTCGCCGCGTCCTTGATCTTGCTCGCCGCCTTGCAGCACTTGGCGTTACCTACCCTGACACTGTCATCTGCTGCCACCTCCTCGAAGGCCTCACTCCCGCCTTCGATGCCCACAAGCTCGCATACATGTAACTTCTCTCCAAGCATGACACTCCCGCTCAAGTTGCCCAGTGGATTATCACCACTGAGGCTGAAATCCTTCGCCACTCCTCCTCCACTGCCGCGGTAGCACAGCAGCGCAGCGGCAAGGGCGGACGTGGGGGAGGGCGTGGAGGTGGGCGTGGTGGTGGTCGAGGCGGCTCTGGCGGTCGTGGTGGTGCGGGTCGTGGGGCAGCAGCGGCCTTCCCACCCTGTCAGTATCTTCCCCTCTATGGCCCCACCCGAGGCCAACGCTGCAACCAAACCACTCATGCAACTGACACGTGCTTCAAGGCACTCAGCGATGAGTGGTTCGCTCGTGGGAACTCTGGCACCCCTCCTCGCTGGTCCGCCCTTAATCCCCGCCCCACTCCCCTCGATGTTCGCACCTCTCCCCTCTACGCCCCCTCCTCCTCCTCCCAGGCCCACCAGGCCTTTGCTCTCCCCTCTCAGCAGCAGCAGCAGCAGCAGCAGCAGCAGCAGCAGCGGCAGCAGCAGCAGCAGCAGCAGAGTGTCCAGCAGCAGGGACCGCAGCAGTATGGGCAGCAGCTCCAGCAGCTCCAGCAGCAGCTCGACCTCCAGCCCCAACTTCCTCTCCTCCCTCCTCCTCCTGTCCCCCAGCAGCAGCCGTTTCCCAGCTGGACCGCCGGAAATGCCGCCTCTGCGGCCCACCTCTCCGGTCCATCCCCTGCGCCGTCCACAGGTGGCAGTGTGACCCCCTTTCCCTCCTCTGGCTTTGTTGGTCTCCTTAGTCAGCCTCCTTCTGTTGCATCTCCTATGTATGCCCCTGCTATTAATGAAACCTCAATTCAGTATTCCGCCTCACCCTCCTCCACCCTTGAGTTCGTCTTGGACAGTGGAGCCACTGATAATGTCTTTCGAGATGCCGGCAAACTCAATCCTCTTCCCACATCCACGTCCCTCCTTGGCGCTGATAGCAGCTTTTCCATCCCCTGTCACAACACCTCCACCCTTCCCTGTCCTCTCTTTCCCTCAGGTACTGTCACAGGTCTTCACATTCCCTCCCTTCGCACCAATCCCCTCTCCCAAAGGTCCCTCCAACAATCCATGATCACCACTCTCACCCCAGGTGGTGCTAACCATTGTGATCTCTACCACACCTCCACAGGTCGTTTCCTCGCCCGTATTCCTTACTGTCCCCGCACCCGTCTATACACCCTTCGAGTTCCTCGCCCCCTCACCTTCCAAGTTGCCTCCCCCCCCCCCCCCCCCCCCCCCCTCCCCTCCCCTCCACTAACCCACCCGTCCCCCCCCGCCCCCCTGACTCTGACTGCTCATGTCGCTCCCTCTCCCACCCTGCCATCCTCCTCCATCACAGGCTAGGTCACCCCAACTTCGCCACTCTGCGCTCCTCTGTATCCTCCGGTCTCCTCCACGGTCTCCCCTCTTCCCTCCCTCCCCTCCCAAAGTCCCCTGCCCCCCCTTGCGTCATCTGTGTTCAGAGCAAGCTCAAGCAGCAGCCGCACCGGAGCTCCCCCTCCGCTGCTGCTCAGCCACTTGATCTTGTTCACATGGACCTCTGGGGCCCTAACCCTTCCCCCACTCGCCAAGGCCATCGCTACCTCCTCGTGCTCGTCGATGACCACAGTCGGTACTCATCGTCTCTCTCCTTCGGACGAAGGCGGATGCCCCGACCGCGATCATTGCTTGGCTCGAGCAAGCCAACACCCACTTTGGCCGCCCTGTTCGTCGCCTCCACTCTGATGGTGGTGGTGAGTTCCTTAATACCCAAATTTCCTCCTACTGCCAGTCCCGCGGCATTCTCCAGACTCACACCCTCCCTCACTCCCCACAGCAGAACGGTGTCGCTGAGAGCCGTGTTCGGGAGATCACCAAAACGGCTCGGTGTCTTCTTGTCCACGCCTCATGCCCCTGTTCTCTGTGGGGCTACGCCCTCCTTCATGCCGCCCTCCTTACTAACCTCTACCCTCACCCCCTCCTCCCCTCCACCACCCCCACTGAGCTATGGACAAAGGACAAACCCGATGTCTCCCCTCTTCGAGTCTGGGGCTCAAAGGCCTATGTCCTCATTCACCCGTCTGACCGATCCCGCTCCCTTGGAAAGCTTGCCCCTCGTACCCTTCCTTGCGTCTTCCTTGGTCATAACCCCTCCTCCCCCGACTACCTTTCCTCCACCCCCCTTCCGGTCGACTAATTCGCAGCAGAGATGTCGTCTTTGACGAGTCCACCCCGTACTATTCCTCCCCCCCGTCCACTGACCCACTCCCACCTCTGACCCGTCCCTTGTCTGGTCTGACACCACACCTCCCCCTCTCCTCCCTCCTCCCCCCATCCTCCCACCCCCTCCCCCTCCGCCCTCCCAGTCCCACGGTGCCCCTCCCTCGTCTAGTGACATCTTTGACCCGGACCCTCTATCTTCCCTGTCTCCCCCGCCCACTCCTCCCCCGGTGCCCCTCCCCCTCCCTCCCAACCACCTCCCTCCCCCACTCCCCGCACCATACTCACCCGGTATCCTCACACCAGGTCATGTGACAGTATCCTTGGTGCACCGCCCCCTGTTACCCTCTCTACCTCTTCCCTTCCCCCTCTTTCTCCCCTCCTTCACCACTTCTTCCAGGCTGTCTTACACCACGCCTCTCCTGCACCAGCCTCCTCGACCACCTCCCCATCCTCGGTAGCAGCACCTCCAGCAGCAGCCATTGCAGCGGCACCAGCAGCGGCACCAGCAGCGGCAAGTGCAGCGGCAGCAGCGGCCTCCACAGCAGCACCAGCAGCGGCACCAGCAGCGGCACCAGCAGCGGCACCAGCAGCGGCACCAGCAGCGGCACCAGCAGCGGCACGAGCAGCGGCCCCAGCGGTTATCCGCGCCTTCCACACCTCCCTCTCTGAGGACTCCCATGAGGAGTTCCTTGACCTCCACCTTTCCGACCCCTCCCTCCTCCCCATCACCTTTGACCTGTCTGGAACACCAGTCTTCGCCTTTTCCTCTGCTCCCTCCATCTTCGTCCCAACCACGTACGAGGAGGCCATGGCTTGCCCCGACGCCCCGCTCTGGCTTGCCGCCATCATCAAGGAGCTCGAGGCATTTATCGCCAACTCCTCCTTCGTTGATGTCCCTCGCCCTCCCTCCTCTACGAACGTGGTAAAGGGGAAGTGGGTGTTTCGCGTCAAACAGCTACCAGGAGAACCGCCCGTCTACAAGGCCCGGTATTGCGCCAAGGGCTTCACGCAGCGGTATGGTTTTGACTTCTTCGACACCTTCTCCCCCACCGCCAAACCTGCTACCGTTCGCGCTGTACTCGACCTCGCCGCTCGCCTCAACATGGAGATCCACTCGATGGATGTCTCCAACGCCTTCCTGCAAGGCGTACTACGTGAACTCATTTACATGGAGCGCCCAGACGGCTTCCACCTCCCCTTCCCCGCCGACTCCGTCTGGCAGCTGCGCCGACCCGTGTACGGGCTCCGTCAGGCACCCAGGGAGTGGCATGCCAAGCTTGCTGCCACCCTTGCTGAGCTTGGCTTTCGCACCTCCCGCTCTGACGCCAGCCTCTTCCTCCGCACCTCTCCCTCCCCCTTCTACATCCTCGTCTATGTTGACGACATGATCCTCCTCACCGCCGACCTTGCCGAGCTCGAGACTGTCAAGGCGGAGCTGGGCAGCCGTCTCAAGTGCAAAGACCTGGGAGAGCTGCAGAACTACCTCGGCATGACCATCACTCGCGACCGCTCCGCCCGCACCATCTCACTCTCTCAGGGTCACTACCTCCAGCAGGTCTTGGACCGGTTTGACATGGCGCGCGGCAACCCCCAGCCCACTCCCCTCTCGGTTGGGCACCACCTCTCCCCACCCTCCTCTCCCTCTCCCTCCTCCCATCCTTATCCGGAACTCATCGGCTCTCTCATGTACGCCATGGTTTCCACTCGCCCCGATCTTGCCTACCCCATCAGCGTCCTCGCTCGGTTCGTTGGCGCTGGCAAGCACACGGAAGAGCACTGGCAGGCCGCCAAGCGTGTCCTTCGCTACATTCGTGGCAACAAGGACTATGTCTTCACTTTGGCGGCCCTTCCCCACCACACCTCAACGGCTACAGCGACTCTTCCTGGGCTGATTCTCGACCGGATCGGCGGTCCTCTCAGGGCTATGGCTTCTCCCTCGGCAGCGGTCTCATCAGCTGGCGGTCCACACGCTCCTCTGCCGTCGCCCTCTCCTCCTGCGAAGCAGAGCTCTATGCTGCGACCATGGCCGCGCAAGAAGCACGCTGGCTCACCTTCCTCCTTGATGAGCTCGGAGCCCCCCAACGCTGTCCCACCATCTGGTGTGACAACGCCAGCACCATCCACCTCACCAAGGACGCTGTGTATCATGGGCGCTCAAAACATATTGAGCTTCGCTACTTCTTCATTCGCGATCTCGTTGAGGCCGGCCACATTCGTCTTGGCAAAATCGACTCGGCAGCCAACCTCGCCGACATCTTCACCAAAGCTCTTCCCCTAGCGTCCCACTCCTTCCTGTTGCGTCTCCTTGGGCTCACCCCGCCACCAGTTTTGGCGGCCTCCTGATTACATTTTTTCTAGCCTTATGCATGTTGGGGGGTTGTGTTGTAAATGTATCTTATATACAACATACATAGGCTAGAATAGGTGTAGCTCTTTAAGCCATTGGGGGGTTGGGTGTACACTCCAACCACACTTTGTGGTTGGGTCAAGATTTGGTTTGGTCTTGGTCCTTGGTTGGCACTTGCCAACATTTGGTCCTAAGGCCAACCAATCACAAGCTAGCAACATTGTGGGGTTCCCTACTCCACAAGGCAACTCACCCATTGGCCAACTTAGTGGCCAATAGGGTTGCACCTTCTTCCAACCTCTCTTCCTTGCATGCTTGTACTATAGAGCCTCCTTGGCTCATTTACTCAACTATTCTTGAATTCTATCAACTCAGGCCGCCCCTGCACCTCACTCAGGCCGCCCCTGCACCTCACTCAGGCCGCCCCTGCACCTCACTCAGGCCGCCCCTGCACCTCACTCAAGCCCACTCATATAGACCATCCTGCTCCTCACACCGCTCCTCTCGTCTCTCCCAAACTCTCCCACCTTCTCGCAACCTCCTCCCCACCTCTCCTACGCCCCCACCTCCCCCCACCTCGCCCAACCTCCGCCACCTCCACACACCTCCTCCCACCCTCCTCCCCACCTCCTCCCCCCTCCACCCCCACCTCCCCCCCTCCCCCCCCCCCCCTCCCCCCCCACCTCCTCCCCACCTCCCCCCACCTTCTCCCAACCTCCTCCCCACCTCCTCCCCACCTTCTCGCACCTCCTCCCCACCTCCTCCACACCTCCTCCACACCTCCTCCCCACCTCCTCCCAACCTCCTCCCCACCTCCTCCCAACCTTCTCGCAACCTCCTCCCCACCTCCTCCACACCTCCTCCCAACCTCCTCCCCACCTCCTCCACACCTCCTCCCCACCTCCTCCCCACCTCCTCCACACCTCCTCCCAACCTCCTCCCCACCTCCTCCACACCTCCTCCCCACCTCCTCCCCACCTCCTCCACACCTCCTCCCAACCTCCTCCCCACCTTCTCGCCACGTCCTCCCCACCAGGCCCCACCTCCTCCCCACGTCCTTCCAGCAGGCCCCACCTCGCGTTGGGGGAACTTGGGCATGTCAGCGACGATGTCGGCCATGGCAGGGCCGCCTCTCGTCCCTTTCATGCACACTCCCCCACCTTCCCCACCTCCCCCCACACTCCCCCACCTCCCCCACCTCCTCCCACCTCCCCCCACCTCTCCCCACCTCGCGTTGAGGGAACTTGGGCATGTCAGCAACGATGTCAGCCATGGCAGGGCCGCCCCTGCGGCAAAGCGAGGCGTACTCCACTGCTCGCTGCTGCACCTCCGCGTCCACGCTGCTCTCGTAGCTGTGGCGAGAAGGAGAGGAGGAGGGGTGAAGGAGGGGTTGGGGCCAGGGAGAATGGCGGGGGATGAGTGCATCACACAGCGAGGCATACTCCACTGCCCGCTGCTGCACCTCCGCGTCCACGCTGCTCTCGTAGCTGCATTCACGCGGGAGGCATGGGGAGGGCGAGAGGGAGAGGGAGGAGGGAGAGGGAGGAGGGGGAGGGAGAGGGAGGAGGGAGAGGGAGAGGGAGGAGGGAGAGGGAGGAGGGGAGGGAGGGGGGGAAGGGAGAGGGAGGAGGGAGAGGGAGGAGGGAGAGGGAGGAGGGAGAGGGAAAGGGAGGAGGGAGAGGGAGGAGGGGGAGGGAGAGGGAGGAGGGAGAGGGAGGAGGGGGAGGGAGGAGGGGGAGGGAGAAGGGGAAGGGAGAGGGAGGAGGGAGAGGGAGGAGGGGGAGGGAGAGGGGGGGGGAGAGGGAGAGGGAGGAGGTGAGCAGCCAAAAGGGCACAGGACGAGGCACCACAGGGGCACACAGCGACGCTCTCCACTGCCCGCTGCTGCACCTCCGCGTCCACGCTGCTCTCGTAGCTGCATTCACGTGGGAGGCATGGGGAGGGCGGGCGAGAGGGAGGAGGAGGGGAGGGAGAGGGAGGAGGGGAGAGGGAGAGGGAGGAGGGAGAGGGGAGGGGGGAGGGAGGGGAGGGAGAGGAGGGAGAGGGATGGGGGAGAGGAGGGGGAGGGAGAGGAGGGGAGGGGGGAGAGGGAGAGGGTGAGGGGCGAGGCACCACAGGGGCACACAGAGGGGCGTACTCCTCTGCTCACTGCTGCTCCTCCACGCCCACTCTGATCTCTTAGCTGCATGCATGATAAGGGGGAGTAGGGGAGGTGAAGGAGGGGTGTGGGGGGATAGAGAGGAGGAGAATGCAACAGAGGAGGTGAGGGGGGGCGGCGAAGAGAGCATCACAGCGAGGCATACTCCCCTGCGTACTGCTGCACCTCTGCACCACACTGCACCTCTGCACCACACTGCACCTCGAAGCCGCGGAGAGCAGGCAAGAGGGTGTGGGATGAGCCTGCTTTTGAGTCGACTGAAAAGGAGGTGAGCAGCCGAGAGGGCATGGGATGAGGCATCACAAGGGACATGGCACCTACGTGCTGCTCACTCACACTCCCCCATTTCCTCACCCACCCAATCCCCCACCCCCAACCCACCTCCCACCCTGACCACCCACCAAGTGAATATGGCCATGCACTTGCAGTGCAGGCGGGCCTGACTTGATTCAAGTGGCATCGCAACACCACCCACCACCCACCACCCACCCACCCCTCCCCCTCCACCCCGCCGCGTGGTGCCCTTTCCCATTCCCTTAGCCACCTACCCCCACACCCAGCCACCCCCCAGTCCAAGCCAGCCCAGCCATGTACCGAGTGGAGATGGCAATGAAATTGCCGTGCCGTGCAGCGCATCGTCGGGCGGCGAGCGCACCGCCAGCTTCCAACTCCCCACGCGCCCACCCAGTTAAGATGGTGTTCCCACCCAGCCACACACTCACCCGCACCCCACCCAGCCACACACTCACCCGCACCCCATGGACCCTAACAACCCACCGAGTGAAGATGGCCATGAGCTTGCCGTGCAGCACATCGTCGGGGGGCGATCGCACTGCCAGCTTCACATACGCCGACAGCATGAGGGCGCGCGTGGGGATGCTGATGGGATGGGGCGCAGTGGTGACGGCACATGAGAAGGGAGGCGGAGGAGCAACGGGGGAAAGGGGAGGGGGGCAAGGAGGGGAGCAAGATGAGGTGCAAGGGTGGGGGGGTTGTGGGGTACGGGTGGGGGTTATAAGGGAGGTGAGAGAGGGAGGAGAGCGAGAAGGTGGTGAGAGTGAGAGGAAGATGCATGAGACAGTGTGAAAAGACAAAGAGACAGTGAGGTCACATCACAGCAAGGTCATCAGCTAATGTGCATTTTCAGGGAGAGGCGAAGAGTGAGAGTAAAAAGGAGAGAAGGGAGTGAGTGGAGGGAAAGAGAGTGGAGAGGGGGACAGGGGGACAGGGATTTGGACTTGACGCATGAGACGGTGTGGAACTTGTTGAGCAGGAAAGGAATGTGGGAACGAAAGGGAGAGGCGAGAGAGTGGAAGGGGAAAGAGAGTGGAAGGGGACAGAGAGTGGAAGGGGACAGAGAGTGGAAGGGGACAGAGAGTGGAAGGGGAAGGGAAAGAGAGTGGACGGGGAAAGAGAGTGGAAGGGGAAAGAGAGTGAGTTGCACGCACGAGACGGTGTGGAACTTGTCATGCAGCACAGCAAAGACGTCCGCTGCTGTGGAGCCTGGCTGCTGCGGCAACAGATGGCTGAACTCGCCCAATATGTAGCTGCCCACCTGCCATGCCCATGCACATGAACACACGCATGCACATGCACATGCACATGCACATGCACATGCCCATGCACATGCACACATGCACATGCACATGCACATGCACATGCACGTGCACGTGCACATGCACCCACGCATGCATGCGCACACATGCACATTCAAACATGTGGACATGTACGTTTGTGCACATCACACACGTACACATGCACACACATGCACACACATGCACACACATGCACACATGCACACATGCACACATCCATTAGACAACACGAAGGGACTAGCATGACCATGCAGAACGAGCAGCAACATCCTGCGAGCTGGGCATCACTCCCACACTGCCCTTCGCCACTCACGTTCACCATACTCTCTCACCACCAGCACTGTTTCTCACCTTACCATGGTCTCATGCACGCCTCTCACCTTGACCATGGTCGCAAAACGAGCAGCAACTGCCCACCTTCATGTGACTCACCTTGACCACTGTCTTGTCTTGTGCATGCCTCTCACCTTGATCATTCCCGTGCACCTCCACCATGCTCGCACCTCCACCATGCTCGCACCTTCACCATGCTCGCACCTCCACCATGCTCGCACCTTCACCATGCTCGCACCTTCACCATGCTCGCACCTTCACCATGCTCGCACCTCCACCATGCTCGCACCTCCACCATGCTCTCACCTTCACCATGGTCTCATGCACGGCCGGCTTGCGCATGAGCTTGAGCACCCGCGAGGCCGCATAGGGCTGCAGGTGACTTTTGAGTCGAACCTTCACCATGGTCTCATCCGTACCATCACACCATCATCCCTCTTGCTTCTCACCTTCACCATCGTCTCATGCACGGCCGGCTTGCGCATGAGCTTGAGCACCCGCGAGGCCGCATAGGGCTGCAGGTGACTTTTGAGTCGAACCTTCACCATGGTCTCATCCGTACCATCACACCATCATCCCTCTTGCTTCTCACCTTCACCATCGTCTCATGCACGGCCGGCTTGCGCATGAGCTTGAGCACCCGCGAGGCCGCATAGGGCTTTAAGTCGACTCAAGAGTCACCCCTTCACCGTGGTCTCATGCCTCTCGCTTCTCACCTTCACCATGGTCTCATGCACGGCCGGCTTGCGCATGAGCTTGAGCACTCGCGAGGCCGCATAGGGCTGCAGGTCGTCATTGTTGGTAACGACCTGCACCACTCTGTACCACACGTCCTCGCTCACGAAGTCGCCTGCTCGCTCCATGAGACACAGTATCACGTCCACATACCTGCCGGTGGGATGCGGGGGAGAGGGGACACGGGGTTAGAGGGAACTGACTTTTGAGTCGACTCAAAAGTCTGCTCGCTCCATGAGACACAGAATCACGTCTACCTACCTGCCAGTGGGACGCGGGGGGTGGGTGAATGAAGAGGTGGGGTTGGGGAAGCAGGGGAAAGCGGAACAGTGGAATGTGGAATAGAGGGAAATGGAGGTCAGTGCATGAGGCATGGCACAGAGCCACATTCACATACCAGGTTAAGGACGGAGAGGGGGAGGAGGGGGGGGGGAGAAGAGGGGAAATAGGGGTGGGTGGGAGATGGAAGAGGAAAGGGTGTGAAAGAGCAGAGGGGATCGATGGGAGGTGCATCCCACCCTGTGCATCCCACACCACCTCCCCCATTTCCCCCCTTCCCCACCCACCAGGGCAGGCCTCCCTCTCCACCCACCAGGGCAGGTCTCCCTCTCCACCCACCAGGGCAGGTCTCCCTCTCCACCCACCAGGGCAGGTCTCCCTCTCCACCCACCAGGGCAGGTCTCCCTCTCCACCCACCAGGGCAGGTCTCCCTCTCCACCCACCAGGGCAGGTCTCCCTCTCCACCCACCAGGGCAGGTCTCCCTCTCCACCCACCAGGGCAGGTCTCTCTCTCCACCCTCACCAGGGCAGGTCGACGGCGAACTTCTCAGCGAGGATGGCGGTCTTGAGGGTCAGCTCCTCGCGCATCACAAAGTACTGCAGCAGCAGCTGCCCCGCTCTCCACCCACCAGGACAGCTTTCCCCTCCCCCCATCCCTCCCTCTCTCACCAGGGCAGGTCGACTGCAAATTTCTCAGCGAGGATGGCGGTCTTGAGGGTGAGCTCCTCACGCATCACAAAGTCCGCCACCGTCAGGTACTGCCGCCGTGGGGGAGGAGGGGCGTGGGGGAGGTGGGGCGTGGGGGAGGTGAGGGAGGGGGGGACTTTTGACTTTTGAGTCGACTCAAAAGTCTTGAGGGTGAGCTCCTCGCGCATCACAAAGTCCGCCACCGTCAGGTACTGCCGTGGTGAGGGGCGCACGGGGGAAGCGGGGGGAGGGTTTGAGGCGCTTCAAAAATCGTCTCCGTTCAAAATGATGGCGGTCTTGAGGGAAAGCTCCTCGCGCTTCCCCCAAAGTCCGCCCCCAAAGTCCGCCCCCAAAGTACTGCCATGCCATCGCCACGGGCGCGTGGGGGAGGGGGGGGGGGAGGGAGGGGGAGAGGGAAGAAGGGGAGGGAGGGGAAATGGGGGGCAAAGACAGAGAGATAGGAAGGGAGGTGGGCAGGAGAAGCAAGAAAAGGCAGAGCGCCCACCTGCATCTGCACACAGACTAATGTTGCTAAAAAGAGGAAGCACGTGGTTGACTCTTTCGAGTCACGTCAAAAGCAGACCCTATCTCACCTGCAGCAGCTTCTCACCTGCAGCAGCTTCTCACCTGCAGCAGCCCCCTCACTCACCTCACTCACTCGGCCAGCATGCTCCAATGGACTCACCTGCAGCAGCTGCTCAACAATGAACTTGGCATTGTCGGTGTCACACAGCCCGTACAGCAGGTCCAGTGCGCGCCGCCGAATGCTGGGGGGGAACCAGGCAACAGGCAGGCACGGGGAGGCAAGAGGGGGCAAGGGGAGGCACGGGGAGAAGGGAGGGAAGGATGGGGGGCATAGCATTTAGAGTGATCATTGCTGCATGGCCTGTGAATGTGGCATGGCCTGTGAATGTGGCATGGCCTGTGAAGCACATGAACGGCTCGACGGTGAATGCTGGGAGGACGGGATGGCAGGGAGGGGATGACAGGGAGGGGAGGGATGAAGGGGAGAAAACGAGAGCATGGCATGTGCTAGGGGATGTGCATCATAGCAGCACCATGCGTACGTATGAGCATGGTTCCCCCGTACCTGATATGGGGTTCCTTGAGGGAGTGCACCTGATGTCGGGGTCCTTGAGGGAGTGCACGATCTGGCTCTGGAAGGCTCTGATGTCATCCTGAACGTCTGCCACCATCAACATGCGCGCCATGTTCTCCTGCTCTCACCACATGCCATGCCATGCCATGCCCACACGCCATGCCATGCCCACACGCCATGCCATGCCCCACATGCCATGCCATGCCCACATGACATGCCCACATGCCATCCCATGCCATTCCATGTCGCCCCATGCCATTCCGTGTCGTCCCGTGCCATCACGTATCAACTCATCCCAACACATACCATCACGAGGAGGCAAGACCAGGAATGTGAGAATAGATCCATGACATGACATGACACGACACGACACGACACGACATGACACGAAACGACACGACACGACACGGCACGACATGACATGACATGACATGACATGGGAGTGGCAGTAATGCTGCAGCATATGAGTGCACCAAGGGATGGTAACCACCAAGGGATGGTAACCACCAAGGGATGGTAACCACCAAGGGATGGTAACCACCAAGGGACGGTAACCACCAAGGGACGGTAACCACCTATGAGTGCGAACGTGCCGTCCCATGATTCCGTTCTACCCCAAGGGCGGCATGGCAACGAGCCGTCCCAAGAAAGCAGTGCACTCATGACTCACGAGATTGGGTTACCCGGTTACCAGATGACGACCTCCCAGGCGAGCCCATGAGCTTCCCAAGCAGCAGCGCCACTGCGTTGCGCTACTGTGCATGGCACCAGCACAGCACCTACTCACCGCCCTCATTGTGACCAGCACCTAGGCATCCGCCCGCATCGTGCAGTCAGTGTGGTGCAGTATGGTGCAGTGCAGTGAGCAGCGAGCAGTGAGGCATGAAGTCGTGTGTGGCAGGCACTCACGAGGGCGAGGTAGCGGATGTTGGGCTCGCGGGATAAAACAAGTGTTTTGAGACATCGCAAAGCACTTTTGTCATCGTGTGTGGGTGGGAGGCACTCACGAGGGCGAGGTAGCGGATGTTGGGCTCCCGCACGCCCACGAACTTGCTTTGAGTCGTCTCACGAGGGCAAGGTAGCGGATGTTGCTTTGAGTCGTCTCAAAAGTAAGCAGCGAGCAATGAGGCAGGCATGGATGGTGTGTGGCACTCACGAGGGCGAGGTAGCGGATGTTGGGCTCGCGCACGCCCACGAACTTGCCCAACAGCCCCACGCAGTGCTGCATCACCTCCCTCTCCGCGTCCATGTGCATCGCCTGGTTAACATCAGGACAACATCGTTGCAAGGGGCCGGCTCCGTGCAGGGAGACGCACAGGTGGGGGGGAGGTTTTTTCTGAGATGTCTCAAAAACACCCTTATTTCGCCCAGCAGCCCCACACAGTGCTGCATCACCTCCCTCTCCGCGTCCGTGTGCATCGCCTGGCGGGGGCGCGGAGGGTGGGGTGCGTGAAGGAGAGCAGTAGGAGGGTAGGAGGGTTTGTAGGAAAGCACTGGAGGGCCATACGTACGAGCGCGAGGGAAGAAATGGAGGGCCGTACCAGCGCGAAGGCCGTACCAGCGCGAGGGCCGTACGTACCAGTGCGAGGGCTTCAAAGAGGATGGCGTGGGCGGCGTTGTTCTTGTTGACATTCTTGACCACCTCCGTTCCCTGCAGTATGCGCGCCAACACCTGATGGCGTGATGTGGGGGGTGGGGGGCATGTACAGTGCACGGTAACAAGGGAGGACATGAGGGAATGAGGGGCAATGGGGACGACATGAGGCACACGCTAGTCCTAAACATCCCTTCCCTGCCCTGCAGCAGCATGCACAGCAGCAGTGGATGGTGCGTGGGTGGGGTTGTACGGGGATGGTGGCATGGCATGCCATTGAGCGTGCACTCAACCGCGAAATTTAGCATTTCAAATCAAACCTTCTCGAGTGGAAGTCATGCAAGACTTGTTGATTGGAGAGAAGAAAAGTGCAAAGGAGCACAAAAACGAAGAGGGCAGAGGCGGGGAGAGGAGACGGAGGAGCAACAGAAACACACCTCGAGCAACGACTTGCGGATGGAGGGGTCTTCAATGGACGGGAAGTACTGCAGCACGCGCATTGTCTTCACCTGTCAGTGAGGTGAAAGAGGGTGAAGGGGGGGAAAAGGACTTGAGGCGTCTCGAAACTAGTGTCCCGCATCGTCTTCACCTGTCAGTGAGGTGAAAGAGGGTGAAGGGGGGGAAAAGGGCTTGAGGCGTCTCGAAACTAGTGTCCCGCATTGTCTTCACCTGTCAGTGAGGTTTCGAGGGTTTGAGTTGGGGGAAAGGGTTTGAGGCATCTCGAAACTCGTCTTTGATTCGATGGACGGGAAGTACTGCAGCACGCGCATCGTCTTCACCTGCCGCCCGCTCCCCAGGGGCGAATTGTGGGGGGAGGGGGAAAAGAGGGTGAGGGAAGGGGAAAGGGCTTGAGGTGTCTCGAAACTCGTATTTGATGGATGGAGGGGAAGTACTGCAGCACCTTCACCTGGCGGCTTGCAGCACAGGGGGGCATGTGTTGAGGGGGGAGGGGGTTGGGTGGGGAGAGAAGCGGAGCGGATGGACAGAAAGGGGGGTGGTGGAACGAAGAGATGGACGGAAAGAGTTGGGGGAGGAAGAGGTGGTGGCAGCAGCTGAGAGAAGGAGGACATGAACCGGAACGGCCAGGGAAGGGAATGACCCTTCACAACAGCACCTGCAGGCAGGCAAGGAGAGGGGATGCCGACGGTGCTTTTGAGAACTCTCAAATGCATGCTGCCAGGGCGAGGGGATGGCATAATAGGTGTAGTCCTGTCCTGGGGAATGTCTGTCTACACACTTGGCCAGGCGCTTTTGAGTCGACTCAAAAGTCAGCTGGGGGATGTCCACACACTTGGCAAAGCACTCAAGCCCTTGGTGGCGGAACCTCGAACCGAGGCAGGCCCCATCCATTTCAATTCAACCCGAACCGAACCGGTTCAGATTAACAATCAAATAAGGGGAAACTTCGACCCAATTCGACCCGAAGTGGTTCGAGTTGGGTACTTGCTGAAGCGTACCTGCAGCCAGGGTGAGGGGATGGCGTACCTGCAGCCAGGGCGAGGGGGATGGCGTAGTAGGTGTAGTCCTGCGGGATGTCGACACACTTGGCGAGGCGCTCCAACACCTTGACGCACTTGGGCACACAGCACAGGTAGGCCTCCGGGTTCGCTGCCACCAGCGCGACGAGCAGCGACATGGTTGCGAGGAGAATGCTGAGACTGCGCTCCTCCAGCAGACTCGCCATGCGCTGTGGCCTGCAGGAGGGGGAGGGGATGGGCAGGGGGGAGTGGGCAGGAGGGGATGGGAAAGGGGGACGGGAAAGGGGGAGCGGGCATGACTAGCAGCGACATGGTGGCGAGGAGAATGCTGAGACTGCGCTCCTCCAGCAGACTCGCCATGCGCTGAGGCCTGGCGGAGGGGAGGGGATCGGCAGGGGGGGATTATGCGCTGTAGTATGGGAAAGGGGGGTGAGAAGAGGCAGGGGGGGGGAGACGGGACTTACCACGTGTCGTTCCTCATGATGTCGGGCTTCTCGGGGAAGAGCCTCAGCAGGCGACTATTGGGGCGGTCCAAACATACACTGCTGCGAGGCGAGCCCCCACTCCACTCACCATGTGTCAGTGCTGCTGACGTCACTCACCATGTGTCTGTGCTGCTGACGTCACTCACCAGGTGTCGGTGCTGATGATGTCGGGGTTCTTGCGGAAGAGCCTCAGTCAGCAGGCGACTGTTGGGGCGCTCCAAACATACACTGCTGAGGCTCTTCCGCAGTACTTTCCTTCCATCAAAGCGAGCAGGCCCCCACTCACCAGGTGTCGGTGCTGATGATGTCGGGGGTTCTTGCGGAAGAGCCTCAGCAGGCACAGCGCTGCCTTCTTCTTCACCAGCGGCCGCGCTGAGCTCGACAGCTGGCAGTGGGAGGTGCGGAGGGGGGCAAGTGGGGGCAAGGCCAGCAGGCCGGATTGGAGAGGAGGGAGGTGGTGTTGGGGGAATGAAATGAATCCAGAGGGAGGGGTGGGTGAATAAAATGAATCCAGAGGGGGGGGTGGGGGAATAAAATGAATCCAGAGGGGGGGGTGGGGGAATGAAATGAATCCAGAGGGAGGGGTGGGGGAATGAAATGAATCCAGAGGGAGGGGTGGGGGAATGAAATGAATCCAGAGGAAGGGGGTGGGGGAATGAATCCAGAGGAGGGGGTGGGGGAATGAATCCAGAGGAGGGGTGGGGGAATGAATCCAGAGGATGAAAGGGAAGGAGAGGCAGGGAAGGGCTGCGTGAGGGCGGGCAATGTATGGGAGTGCAATGAAAAGGGGGGGAGGAGGCAGGAGTGAACAAGACGGAGCAGAAGCTGAGTGAAGCAGGTGTGAGTGAGACATAGCCCAAATCTCCCCCCCCCCCGCCACCCCTGCCCCAGCATCATCCCATCCCGCCCGCCCCATCATTGCTTCCCCGCTTCTTCCCGCATCCTTGTTTCCCCGCTTCTTGCCCCAGCCAGCCCCACCATCGCATCCTGCCCAACCGCATACTCATCCCCCGTCATCCTCCCCATCCCTACCAGCAGCTTCTGCACGTCCGGGGCGACAGACTCCGAGAACTCCTTCCCCCCGATGTTGCCCACCTGGCCGCGCGGGGGAAGGGGGGGGGGGGAGGGAGGAGGGGGGGGAGGAGGGGGGGTAGGAGGGGGGGGGGAGGGGGGGAAGGGAGGGAGGAAGGTAGGGGGAAAGGCAGGGGGGAAGGCAGAGGTTGAGGGAGGGGAGGAGTGGTGGCAGGGGAAGACGGGGGAGGGAGGGGGGGTTGGCAAAAAAACGGGGGAGGGAGGGGGGGGGTGGCAGGGGTGGACGGGGGAGTGGAGGAGAGCTGGGTGGAGGGTGTGGAGCTTAGTGTGAAATACGCGGAGAGAACTGAGAGATTGAAGGGCGGAAAAGAGGTTTGGTGGTTCAGGCGGGCTGAGAACACAGTTGGAAGGGCAGAACGGGAGGGAGGAGAATGAACGCGAGGGCGGGAGAGGGCCAAGCGGATGGGGCATTAGCATGGTGAGGGGATGGGAGTGGGAATATGTGGGAGAAAGAAGCGAGCAGAGGCAGTACTATGGTGAGGGCGAGGCATACCATGGTGAGGGCGAGGCATACCATGGTGAGGGCGAGGCATACCATGGTGAGGGCGAGGCATACCATGGTGAGGGCGAGGCATACCATGGTGAGGGCGAGGCATACCATGGTGAGGGCGAGGCATACCATGGTGAGGGCGAGGCATACCATGGTGAGGGCGAGGCATACCATGGTGAGGGCGAGGCACTGAAAGGTCTCGTTGCGGCCGATGATGTCATTCCTGACGGAGTTGATGACGAGACGCAGAAAGTCGTTGTTCTCGTTCAACAGACATGACGTCACCATGTACCCCACCTGCCACGTGTCATGCATGCATGCATGGGCAGGCGCACGCATGCACACACACACCCATGGGTACATGGGCACATGGGTAGAAGCACACACAAACAATCAGTGATGCATTCTTGCTACGTCAGGGCATCTGGCACGCCCTTAACCAGGGGACTGAGTAGGCGGACGGACGCATGGCAGCAGGCAGCAGGCGGACGGACGCAGGTGGACGAACAGGTGGGCACGGGGGAGTAGAGGAGAACAGACCTTTTCTCGGTGTACTTGGGCGCCGAAATGGGGGGGAGCGGGGAGAGTGAGGAGAGGGGGGAGAGCGGGGAGAGGGGGGAGAGCGGGGAGCGCACCTGTTTTTCTGCGTATTTGGGGGCGGAAATGAGGGAGACGGCCTCCATGTGTCCGAAGTCGACGTCATAGCCGAGCATGAAGATGTAGAGCAGCTTCCACACGTACTTCTTCTTCTCGTAAGGCGTCAGCTTCTGTGCTCACACGCACGAACGGACAAGAACGGACGGGTACAGGCACAGAGAGATACAAACGTGAGCATGAAGATGTAGAGCCGCTTCCACACGTACTTCTTCTCGTAGGGCGTCAGCTTCTGCGCGCCGTGGTGGTGGGCATGCACATACAGAGAGATACGGCACGGATACACGCAAAAAAGTACAGACAGAGACAGGCATGAGCATGTGAGATGTAGAGCAGCTTCCACGCGTACTTCTTCTCGTACGGCGTCAACTTACTGTGCGCTCAGACATGGTCACGCACAGACATGGACACGCACAGACGCGGGGACGCACAGACGCGGACACGCACAGATACGGACACGCACAGACGCGGAGACGCACAGATACACGCACCCAGACGCACAGACAGATGCAGGTACAGATACGGGAAAAGGTGACGTCTTGGTTCCCAGCTGTCCATGAGCATCAACGCACTTGAGACAAGTCACGACTTGCGATTCAACTCAGTCAACTCAAGAACTGTTAGTCAAGTCAACACTTGCGGGTCAACTCGGTCAACTCAAGAGACGTGACCTGCCAATCCAGCTCTATACGCATGGTATCGCCTCACTTCGTAATCGTCACCTTATTTACGACCTACCTCACTTCTTAATCGTCACCTTATTACGACCTATCAAGCTGACCGCTCTCATCAGGCTATCATCGAGGCTATACGATATGCGGTGGTTCGATCTAAATTGAATGATGTAATCCAACCATTGTCGCGGCGCATCGTGAAATTTGATGCGTGCTTCCACGTGTACCCGAAAGCGACACGGGTTCCCTGAAAGCATTCGACTTTCCAGACATTTACGACGCTCCCACTGCGAAAGACCACGGCCACGCCCGCCGTCTTACACGTTCAGCCTTGAAATGCGTGCGAATGTTCGCGAGCTCCTTGTCGACTCGTAGTCGCTCCTGCTCCTTGTTCTGACAGTTCCGAATATCGGATATGAACACGGACAAGCCGCGCATGCTAGAGGTCGCCATGGCGTCGAGCCGGCTAAGAGCAACGGGGATTCTAGCTGACAGAACTACCTGAACACAGGATAATCATCTGACATTCCCAGGGGGGGCAGATCTCGAGATAGCTCGAGTTCTGAGGGCGGGTCCAGCTCGTCGCAGCTCATGTCGAAATTCGTCTAGTAACCTAGTTTCTAGGGAAACCGCGTCAATCGTTGAGATCAGCCATGTGCTCGGTTCACAGCAAATCAATCACTCGCACCCACACTCTCGTCCCACCCAAGTACGTACCCTGACGAAGAATTCGACATCGCGCATGGAAAATTGGTCCACAATTCGGTTCGTATGAGCGGGATGTTCGCACCACCAGAACACAGCACGCGTTCGGGTTCAGATTGACACGGGGTATGGAACTTTTTTGGGTTGCGTAGCAACCTTATACAATTGGTTTCACTTTCTGGGAACTGACGTGAACAGTGATTTTTCTGTGTCCAATTGTTATGAGTTGTACTAAACATAGTGCGTGGAAGACTTTACAAAGAGAACGTGAATAAAGAATGAAAAAACAATGAAAAGAACTAGCTTTTTTAGGGCGAAAACTAGCTAGGCGAGAACCTCGTGATGTGTGACGGTTGGATGTGTCGCGATTGGTGCGGGGCGACTCGGCGCTGGTTCGGTACGAAAGTGTAGGCCGAGCCACACTGACGCGAGGGTGCTCGGGGCTGTCCTCGCTAGGAGCAGCCTCTATAGAAATAAACTGCATCCCATCTTCTAAATAAGGTGTACTTATACGAAGTCGAGGATGTCAACTGAACTAGGCAAGAATGAATGAACTAGCAGAAGTTTGGGTACAAATATGAAACCCTAGTTGGGGTTGTACCCCATATTGGCTACCCCACTACAGCCTACCAACATATAACACATTACAATTTAACACACCCCCATAGGCAAAGTGGGGGAGAACAAAGGGTCACAAGACCAGTCCAGCAAAGCAACGCAAGCCCAGGGTGGATCACAACGTCACCACACTCTGAGCACAAGCAAAGGCCACAAGGCCAGTTCACATGCAGTGCTAGATATAGTACAAGACAAGCAACAAGATATATATAAAGTACAGTACAAAGAATGTCAAGCAGTGAGCAAGTGAGGAAACGTGGACACAAGGCCTAAAGAAGTACAGTGCCGCTGATGATCACTAGGCGGGAGCGCCTTGGTGAAGATATCAGCAGTGTTGGCCTTCGAGTCCACGTACACAAGCCGAAGCTGACCGCGCTGCTGAAGCTCTCGAGCAAGAAAGTAGCGAAGAGCAATGTGCTTCGTCCTGTGCTCCAGTCTGTGCTCCTGACACAAGGCAAGAGCCGCCTTGTTGTCACCGTACAGAACTGGAGGAGAACTAGGCCGCTCTCCCAAGTCAGTCAGCAGGTAGGTGAGCCAGCGTAACTCCTGTGCAGCCATGGCTGTGGCGTAGATCTCAGCCTCACAACTAGAGCCGAGAACAGAGGAAGAGCGGGTGGACCGCCACGAGACAGAACCAGAGCCAAGGCTGAAGGTGTAACCCTGTGACGACCGCTGCGTAGCCAGGTCGTCCACCCAAGAAGCGTCCGAGTGACCAGTGAGGACAATTCTGTAGCGTCCTCCAAGCACCAGCCCCATGCCTAATGTACTGCACAAGTAACGCAGCACCCTCTTAGCAGCCTCCCAGTGCTCTCGCCTGTGTCTCCCAGGCGCAACGTAACGAGCAAGGATGCTAAGAGGGTACGCGAGGTCAGGTCGCGTGCAAGTCATCAGGTACATGAGGCAGCCAACAAGCTCTGGGTACGGGCCACTCGGCTCTACGGACTCGTCCGAAGGTGGAGCTGAGAGCGAGTGGCTGGTAGCCAGAGGTGTGGCCTGAGGTGAGGAGAACTGGAAGCCGAAGCGCTGAAGGACCTGCTGCACCATGTGTGACTGAGTCAGGGTGATGGTGCGGCGAGCTCTGTCCCGGGTGATCTGCAAGCCAAGGTAGCTACGCAGTTCACCCAGGTCAGTGCAGGTGTGTCTCTTCTGCAGCTCCGACTTCACACGAGCGAGTGCCTCAGTGTCAGCAGTAGCAAAGACCAAGTCGTCGACGTACACGAGAATGTAGAACGGCGGCAGCGACGTGTCTGTGCGCAGAAACAGTGACGGGTCAGCAGTAGACGGCGCGAACCCAAGAGCCGCAAGTGTAGTCCTCAGTGTGTCGTGCCACTCGCGTGGCGCCTGGCGAAGACCGTAGACTGGCCGGCGGAGGCTCCACTGGGTACCAGGAGGAAACGACCCAGTAAAGCCAGGTGGGCGGCGCAGCCAGATCTCCTCGTGCAGGCTGCCCTGCAGGAACGCTGTGCTGAAGTCAAGAGAGTGAAGCTCGTAGTCACGCTGAGCAGCAACGTGCAGCAGAACCCGAAGAGTGGTCATCTTCGGGGTGGGGGAGAAGGTCTGGAAGAAGTCGACCCCCTGACGCTGACTGAAGCCTCTAGCAACGTAACGAGCCTTGAAGACAGGCGGAGAACCTGGCGGCCGCTTCACCCTGAAAATCCACATGCCATCGACGATGTTCGCCCCAGGAGGGGGAACCTCGTCGACGTAGGTGCCTGTGGACTTCCAGGATGCCATCTCTGCGTCCATGGCTGTCTGCCACTGAGAGGAGTAGGGACCCGAGATCGCCTCTGCGTAAGTGCGCGGAGTGGGGATGTCTAGTGCATCCGGGTCTCCCTCAGGGGCAAGCAACCAGGCCACGAGATGAGGTACAGCAGCCGCGAGAGAGTCAAAGTCCTCCTGCCTGTCCTCAAGGACGTCCGTGCCAAGAGCACACTCACCCCCGACGGACGGAGGACAGACAGACGCAGACTCAATCTCAGCAACAAGGCGAGCAGCGTAGTCTAGACGACAGGCAGCAGCAAAGTCAACCAACTCAGCGACCAGAGCAGACGCAGCCGAGGACTCAAAGGTAGGGTCAGTGACAACAGTAGCGAGGAGACGCGTGACAGTAGGGTGCTCAGTACGATACCGGTCAGACTCAGGGTCCGGAACAGCAGGCAAAGAGGACGCAGGAGGAGACGGCAGAGGGACACGCTGAGGAGCAGTGGACGGACGCAGAGTCATGTAGTGAGTGCCTGGGACAGCAGGAGGACGCTCACGACGGACACGACGACCAGTGCGAGCAGTACGGACAGGCGACGCAGGACGAGACTCAGGCTCACGACGCTCTGTAAGACCTCCTGTGGGACCAGTGTAAGGAGAGGGAGCAGGGAGAGGCGAGGCAGGCGGTAACTGTGACTGCGGCTGGACAGGCGGAGGACAATCTACGGAGGGAGGAGGACAAGGAGGAGGAGCCTGCCCAAGAACCTGCTGAAGGAGCGGTACGAAGTACGGCCGCGGCCGCGCAGCGCCTCCAGAAGCAGAAGAGACTCCAGCGTCCGGGTCCCCAGCACCAGCAGTAGCGCCACCGCTCGGGTCCTCAGCTCCAGCAGCAGCTCCACCAGGTGGGTCCGCAGCACCAGCAACAGCGCCACCCCCAGGGTCCGCAGCACCGCGAGGAAGAGCACCCCCAGAGTCGGCAGCTACAACTCCGCTAGCACCGCCAGCTCCAGAGTCCCCAGCTCCAGCAGCTCCAGTCGTAGTGCGCCCAGAACAACCAGTCCCGGCAGCTCCAGTACCCCCAGCTCCAGCCGAGCCACTAGGACGGCGAAAGCGCCGGACGTACCAGTCACGAAGCTGCTGCGGTGTGAGAGACTGCTCAGCACCCCGAACCGGAGCACCCCCAGACGCAGCAACCCGAGGCTCCGTAGGCTCAGCAGCAGCACCCCCAGGCTCAGTACCCCCAGGCGCAGCACCCCCAGACGCAGCAACCCCAGGCTCCGTAGGCTCAGTAGCAGCACCCCCAGGCTCGGCACCCCCAGACTCCGTACACGCAGGCTCAGCACCCCCAGTCGTAGCACCCCCAGGCTCAGCACCCCCAGGCGCCGAACTCCCAGGCACAGTACCCTCAGCTCCAGCACCCGCAGTCCCAGCACTCCCAGGCCCAGCACCCGCAGGCTCAGCACCCCCAGGCTCAGCACTCCCAGCAGCACCACCTGCAGCAGCACCTGAGTCACCTGTGACCTCGACAGGCTCAGTGACGGGAGGAGGGTCTACCTGAGAGACACCTGAAGGAGCAGGACCCTGAGGGGGAAGGGGGTCTACCGGAGGGGGACCAGGAGCAAGGAAAAGCGGCGGGGGAGGGAGGGGGGCAGTGCGGTAGGGGAAGAGACGGTAAAAAGGGACCGACTCGTCAAAGGTGACGTCCTGAGAGGCGAAGACCCGGCGCGAGGTGGGGTGGTAAAACTGCCAGCCCGGCGCGTCAGGGACAAAGCCAAGGAAGACACAGGGAAGTGTGCGGGAGGAGAGCTTGTCCGCGGACGTATCGCGGACAAGGGCACGAGCACCCCACACCCGGAAGCGCGACGCATCGCCAACCTCCCCCGTCCAACGCAGTGTGGGCGAGGTCTCCGGCAAGGAGACACGGGGCCAGAGGTTGAGCTGATGCGCGGCGTACCGGACAGCAAACGGCCACAGAAAATGGGGAGCCGCCGCGTGGACCAAGGAGGTACGAGCGACCTCCATGACCAGGCCAATGCGGCGCTCAGCAACCCCATTCTGCTGTGGGGAGTCCGGAAGCGTGAAGGTCTGCTCGATGCCCTCCTCCTGACAGAAGGCCCTCAAGAGGTCGGAGGAAAACTCACCACCTCTGTCAGAGTGCAGACGCAGGACAGGAAGATCCGTCCGGAAACGGCGGCGGAGCTGGAGACGAACTGCGCGGATCCAAGGGATCAGAACAGCAGGGACCTCACCCTTGGTGCGCAAAGGGAAGACCGTGGTGTAACGCGAGTAGTCGTCGACAACCAGCAAAAAGTACCGCTCACCGCCCTGACCACGAACGCGGGCTGGGCCCCACACGTCCAGGTGGAGGGTCTGCAGTGGAGCCTCTGTCGGGGGGAACGAGGAGGAGTGAGGAGCGGCGCGCTGCCGCC